GCCAACGGGAAATGTTAGCGCAATCAGCGGATTATGCTCCACATTTGTCGGCATCACATCACCCAATCCAATCGTTGCCATTGTCATGTAACTAATCAGCTGATCAACTGTTATGAGCTTATCTCCGAGTATTCTCACAGTTCCTGAGTTTCACTAATTTCTCTTAACTCTTGAGATTTGCTGGCAATATGAGTATGATATATATATATATGCATAGGTTACGGAAATACAAAAATATACTTATAATACAAATTTATTAGGAGTGCTAAGATCGCTCGGATAACCGGTGCAGGAAATCGATATAAACTCGCTGTAAAAAAGTTAATTACTTGTAGAATTTCCAGTGGTACTGGGGTAAATGCTGGGATATCGGGGATCGAATTTGGATGTAAATACTGCGCCTCACATGGAAAATGATAAAACAAAATTAGTGAAACTTACGAGAAGTAGAATGCATCGCCAAACGACATCCTTGTATATGGTTTACTCGAATGATCAATTGCAATAACAATTAATGAGCAAATAGCTAAATAAATCGTGATGATTGGGACGAACAGTTTCAATGGAAAATCAGCATCCTGAAACATTTATTTATATCAGTATTTATTGCAGAAAATGCATCCTATCAACTGCGTATTCTACATAGCTTCAATTCCGTATTTACATTATGCATGCCCATGTAGGGCGGCCAAGAGGCTGTATTGATGATTCCTTCTCCTACCGCATGCTCCGTTCGATTTTGCTCACAGCTAAGGGATGAAACAAAGACTGCTTCCTAACATGTCTTATTGCATATGATACCATTAAATTGCACAAGTCTTAAATTATCGCCAAAAGTGAACCTCATCAGTACAAGAACTGGAAATAAGAGACCGCAACAGAATTCATAGGAGAGTGTGGAAAAGACTGCTGGTTCCGGATTCTTACTTGGAACGTTTCAGTCACTAAAATTTTCCCAAAACTTTTCAAATTTAGTGCTTTTTGCCGCTAATTTTGCAAAATATACGGTGAAAGACTTTTTTTCCACTTCGTGCAATTCAGCATTCCTTTACTAATTTTCGATCTTCACGTTTAAATTTATTTCATTAGTCAGGTACTCGTCATCTTAACCTTACAAAAGAACATGCTCTTAATTTTTAAAATCAAAACATACTTGGAATAGGAAATCGCTGCTACTGCTATCAGAAAGTTTGCGACCGCGCAATCGCATCCTCCTAAAATTTACAAAAATGAAATCTCCAGGATTTGATAAAAAAACGTGTTTACATGTGTTTCTTGAGTGCACTATCTCGTCTCGAACGTTGTCGCTCCCGGACCGCGATGAGATCCTTTACCGACACGACGAAGTTTTACTGACAAGATATGATCTTGAAAAGCTACACATAAAAAAATTACCAATAGAATCGACGGCACATATTGTAAATTTTGGTCAAACAGCGCAGCAAGATACTTCCGACATCATTCAGTACCGCCAGCATAAGTGGTATACCAACAACGGAGTAGGCAACTGATAGCTGAATAACATTTTATTATAAAAAGTAGGATCTGTGCCGTGATGGAACAAAGTCTGGGCATTATGTTATGAAAAGTGATCCGGATAATTTTTGCAAAAATACCGCACGTAAATGGCAACGGAATTTCCTCTCCGTGTGTTCACTAAACCCCCCCTCCCCCACAAATTTGAAAATGTGCGCTGACTGTGGTACAAATTTAAACGCCACAGTCTGGAGCTTGCAGGCAACAGATGAATGTTCCACTGAATGAAGCACAAGGACCGGTAGTGTAGTGGATAAAGATTTGGAAAGTTAGGCAACCGTGCATATGGACTGGTTTGATTCCCTTTCAGCTCGAGCCTCTTGTAAAAGGAGCTTCGCTTGTAGTAGGGAATGTGGAGTTTAGAGTAGAAGGACCTAGCATTTCTACATTCGACGTGGAATATATTAGTTATGCAGTGTCTCCATCTGTAGCCTGATTTCCTAGATTTTGGTTATAAGGTAATCTAAAATGTAGATCATGAAAACAATTGTACTACGGCCAGCTAATAACGAGACTCAGTTTCGGTGGTGCTTGAAGCTCGGCTCAAAAACTTTTAACCATATTG